CTCCCAGCGCCCGGCCTTGCTCTCCAGTTGTGTCCGCAGTTGTGCCTCCAGCTCCTGGCTGACTTGCTCAAGGGCATGCACCTTGGCCATGTAGTCCACCAGGCAGCCCCCCAGGTCAACGGCACTGAGGTCCCTCTCCAGGCCTGGAGCAGGTGCTGTGGCCAGGCCTGAGCTCTGCAGCCCCTGCAGAAAGACACTGCTGATGCCCAGGGCTCGGTGGGTCACACGGGCACTCAGGCCACCTGGGTACCCATTGGGTACCATCCCTCCATAGACCCTGGGCGCTTGGACAAGGCCACCCATGGCACTGGTCCTGGAAGCCGGGGGGCTATCCAGGGAGGACGATGACCGTGTTTGCTTGAAAGATGCCCTGTGCCTCTGCAGGGACATGCTGGAGCTGGCACTGGTGGGCGCATCCACCACCACTTGCCTTGAGCTCATCACCCCTTCTGCCTCTGCTGTGCCTAGTGGGTTTACAGAGTTCAGTGGCTTTTGGTTTCCAGCCCCAGTGTCCCTGTGGCCCAGTCATAGGCCTTTCTGGAAACTCCCCTATCCCCAGGGCTGCTTTGTCTGCTGTTTTTCCATGAGTTTCCATCATACGCTGAGCTGAAAGAGAACTGGGCCCTGTCCAGGGCTGAGTGAGAGAGGGCCTCATGGGGTCATGTGCCTGACCACCCAGATTTTTCTGCTGGTGGTGAGGGAGGCTGGATCAGTGCAGGCTATCGGGGTGGCTCCACTGGGTTTGTGTATTTCACTAATTAAGAGAGGGCAAGGCAGGTATTGAGCAGCCCCATTGCACAGATGAGTAAAGTGAGGCTGAGATTACAAGTGTAGTGAGCGGCTGAGCCAGGACTCAATGGATCCAGGTGTTCCAGCGCCAATCTTAGGGCTTTCTACATCCTTACACATGAGGTGTGTGTGAATGTGCACATGTCTAGACACGTAATAGAGGATGGAAACCAGCCACAGTAGGAGGCAGCCCCAGGGTCTCGAGAGAAACAAACCAAGCTTGTTGCTTCCTTCACCCTCCCTCAGTCCTGGCAGCAGCTTCAGTCCCTTCCTAGCATCTTTCTTCCCTTGAAAACTGCCGATCATCAGCTGCCTGATCTTGGTCACATTGTTTCACCTCTCTGCACCGTACTTCCATTCACTTGTCTGGGCTGGGCTCTAACTCACTAATGCATTAGATGAGGGACACTGGGCAAATTCAGGTCCCATACTTGTTGGGCACCTATTACGCTCTAGCCGTTCCCTGTACATCTGTTTCTCCATCTGCCAGAAAACTAAGTAAAACAAAGGGAAGGAAGGTTTTCCAGTAAGCTCTTTACAGGTACTCTAAGTTAGGCTTGGATGACACCGCTGGTTTTAATTCCTGTCCTCAGAACCCATTCAGGTGTGTTGTCATGGTCCCACCCCAATCACTTCTCCAGGCCCAGAAAGGATTTTCCAGCTCCAGGGATGACAAAATGGACCTAAAAACCACTGCACTCAAGGTTTACCCTAAAGAAATCAAGTAACCAAAACCCAGAGGCTGGATACTATCCCAGAGCCTGCATTGTAGAAATCCAGCTCCAG